ATCATCCTCTCCATCCTGCTCTCCGCGCTGATCTACGGCCACGACATCACGCCCCCGGGCATGGTGGGCCTCCTCCTCGTCTTCTCCGCCATCGCCTACCGCATCAAGCGCAAGACCGACGCCGACGGCAAGCCCCTCATCAAGTGGGCCGGCATGAACGACGACAAGTCCATGGACGTGTTCCACGAGTGGCACGAGCACTGCGACATGTGAGGGCGACGTTAGCGCGGGCGGCGCGCTAATTTTTCTTCGCGCACCGCTCCCAGGCGGGCGACGCGGCGGCGCAGTCCGTCGCCGCGTGCTTCGTCGCCGCGTTGCAGACCCAGTTGCTCAGGTCGTTGGCCGCGGGCGCGCACGCCGCGGCCGTCGCCGGCGCGCAGCCCGCCGGGCCGTCGCGGCGCACGGCGATGCCGCACTTCGCGTCGGACACGTCGCTCGCGGCGCCTCCCGCGTCGTAGTAGTAGGTCGTCGGGAAGGACGCGAGCGCCGCGGGGTCGACGCCGAGGATTTTTTTCGACTGCGCGACGCAGTCGGCGGAGCCGCTGCAGAACGTGAAGGTGCCGTTCGGCGTGCCCTCGGCGTCGACGAGCAGCTTGAAGGGCTGGATGCCCGTCGCGTTCAGAACGCCGTCGTGGGTCGTATCGTAGAGCATGGTGCCCATGGTGATCTCGCAGAAGACGCAGCCCTCGAGGTGGAACACGACGAGCGCGTTGACGGGGTGGCCGTCCTGGAAATGCGCGCCGAGCTGCGTTCGCATGCTCGTGTCCGGCTTGGCATAGAGGTCCACGATGTCATGCACGGCATGCGTGGACGCGAGCGTCAGGGCGGCGGCGAGGAGGCGCATTGTTTTCGAATGGCTCGCGAGCGGGGCTGCTAGACAAGGCGGCATCTACAAGTCACTTTGTCGATGGTGCCGATTCAGTTAAGGCTGCCCACGGTGGTCAGAAGATGGCCGCCGTCGCCCTCCGGGTCGACGTGCCCGAGGGCGACTGGCTCATGCGGGAGCGGGAGGCCGTCGTCGACGGGTCGACGCCCGCGCGCGGCGGCGTCGCGGCGTGTGTGTACACCGATGGAACCACGCTCCCCGGTAGGTCCACGAGTTCGCGAGCTCCGTCACGGGCAAGTGGAACGCCATGCTCGAGGAGGCGCGCGAGACGCAGCGCGCCGCGCGCCGCCGGCCCCTGCCCCCCGGGCCCCGGGAGCGCTGCGCCCGGGCCGCGGCCCACATGCGCGCGCTCCGCGCCGCG